TAGAGGGCTCACTGAATGGCGCAGACAGTGGAATGAAGGGAAAAAGTAAACAATCAACAGTAGAAAAAACATGGCAGAGATGAGGCAGAGAAAGTTGGCCATAACTACTAATGTGGAATGCCTCAATTCACCAATAAAAAGAAACACAGGCAGTGAATCAGGAGATAGGGTCCATCAATATGCTCTATATAAGAAATATGATTAACCCAAAAGAAGATTTATAGGACGAAAGTCAAAGATGAGAAAACAATGTTTTATGTGTCAGGTAACCAGAAATTGGGGGTAGCTTGCCCATCAGCTGCAGGTTAGTTAGAAAGCTGTGACACTTTTATACAATGGAAAACAACTCAGCCATAAAGAAAGAAAACCTTGAGACTCTTTGTAGGTAAATGGATACAACTTGAGATCATTGACAGGGGTAAAAAGGTTCAGAATCACTTAGGTGAATGGTGAGCTGCATCCCTAATTTAAAAACTAAAGGAGTGAGTGGGATACAAATTATACAATGCACCCTATGAAAGTATAAGGGAAGGACTTGTCTAAAAAGGGAAGGCAGCAGCCATTGTTAATCATTTTATAAGTTTTTTTGATTTTTTTAAAGAAAGAAAAAAGAAAAAACCAAAATAGAAAAGAAGAGGAGCACAATACAGAAATCAATAAAAAAAATTAACACTAAGGAATCGTTAGTTGATACACTACATATTGTCATCTTAGAAATAATTGTTCAAGTTACAAAATCAAAGCATGAAAAGTGAATAGACAAACACTGACAGTGCAAACCATTCTGTTCAATGATCCTACAAAAATCTAGTAATATGGTTATCTATCTTACACACTTATATATACAGTTATATCCTTTAGAGCACTTTCCTTTACTTTCATTTTTATAATATCTATTATACATTTAAGTCATTACTTTTTCACTTTTTATTATTTTTTACACTAGAGAGACAATGTGATATTTACTAATGTGAGGGTTTATTTCATTTATGAGGGTAATTTCAAATTGCCTCCATTTACCTATAAAGGCCTCAAGATCATCCTTTTTATAGCTGAGTAATATTCCATTTTATAAAAGTACCACATCTTTTTCATTCACTCTGTGGTTGATGGACATTTTGGTTGTTTCCAAAATTTAGCTATTACAAATTATGCTGATATAAACATAGGTGCACATATATCACTGTGACATGACCTTTTCAAATTTTTTGGGAAAATACCCAGGAGGAGAATAGCTGGATTGAATGGAACTCCTAATCCTAGTTTGTTGAAGAATCTCCATACTGATTTACACAGTGTCTGCACCAGTCTACACTCCCACCAACAGTGGAGCAGTGTTCCTTTTTCCCCATAGTTTCACCAACATTTGTTATCAGTTGATTTCCTGATGGCACCCATTTTTTCCAGGGTGAGATGAAATCTCAGTGTTGTTTTAATGTGCATTTCTTGAATGACCAGTGATGGTGAGAATTTCTTCATGTATTTATTTACCATTTGTATATCTCCATTTGAGAAATGTGTGTTCATCTCTAATGCCCATTTTTGGAGAGGGTCTTTGAATTTGGGGGCCTTGATGTTTTTCAATTCATTATATGTTCTGGATATAAGTCCTTTGTCTGAGGGGTTGCTGGCTAAAATTCTTTCCTATTCTGTGGGTTTTCTTTTCAATATGTTGGTGATTTCTTTTGAAGTGCAAAAACTTTTTGGTAATATGAGATCCCAGTTGCTGATTCTTTAAAGTGTTTCCCATGTGGTTTACATTTGTTCAGGAATTCTCTGCCTACCCCTATGACTCCAAGACGTTTACCTCCCTTGTCTTCCAGTAGATTTAGTGTTTCTTATTTTATAGTTAGGTCCTTGACCCATTTTGACTTTAGTTTAGTGCATGATAATAGGCATGGGTCTAGTTTCAGTCTTCGGCATGTGGAATGCCAATTTTTCCAATTTATTAAAAATGCCATCTTTTCCCCAGTAAACATATTTAGTCCCTTTGTCAAATATAAGGTTGTTGTGTGTCTTTGTAGTTGGGTTTGCATCTTCTAAACTGTTCCATTGATCCTCAGGTCTATTTCTTTGCCAGTAACATGCTGATTTTATTACTGTGGATTTGTAGTATAATTTCAAGTCAGGAATTGAGATGCCTCCTCCTTTGCCTACATTGCCCAGAATTCACTTTGTTATTCTAGGTTTCTTCTGTTTCCAAATGAATTTTAGAAGTGTTTTTTCTAGATCTTTAAGGTATGTTAATGGTATTTTGATTGTGATTGCATTAAATCTGTGTAACAGTTTTGGGAGTATGGCCATTTTCACAGTGTTGGTTCTTCCTAACCAAGAGCAACAAATATCCTTCTATTTTCTAATATTCTCTTCAATCTCCTTTTTAGAGTGTTATACTTTTCAGCATATAGGTCTTTTGTATTCTTGGTTAGGTTGATTCCTAGGTATTTCATTTTTTTAGATGCTATTGTGAAAGGTGATATTTCCACAATTTCCCTCTCAGGGAGTTTTTTGTTTGTGTATAGAATGTTATTGATTTTTGAATGTTGATTTTGTATCCAGAATGCTGTTGAATTTATTTATTACCTCTAGTAGTCTTTTAATGGAGTTTTGGGGGTCTTCTATAAAGTATCATGTCATCTGCCAATAATGATAATTTAACTTCTTCTTTTCCTATCTTTATTCCTTTTATTTCTTTCTCATGTCTGATTGCTCTGGCTAATATTTGCAGCACTATATTGAATAGGAGTGGTGACAGTGGACAATAATGTCTTGTTCCTGATTTTAGAGTGAAGGCTTTCGGTTTTTGACCATTTAGTCTAACGTTGGCTGTTGGTTGTCATAAATGGCCTTTATGAGATTGATGTAGGTAACATGCATTCTGAGTTTCTGTAGGGTTTTTATCATGAACATGTGTTGAACTTTATCGAAAGCTTTTTCTGCATCTATTGAGATGATCATGTGATTTTATTTTTGGCTCTGTTGGTGTAGTATGTTACATTTATTGATTTATATATGTTAAACCATTCCTGCATTCCCATTTATTCCAAATGGGAATAAATCCCATTTGGTCATGGTGTATAATCTTCTTGATGATTTGCTGCATTCTATATGCCAATATTATATTGAGAATCTTTACATCAATGTTCATTAGTGAGGTTGGCCTATAGTTCTCCTTTTGGGTTTGTCTTTCTCTGGATTTTGGTATCAGCATGATACTTGAATCTTGGAATGAGTTAGGGAGGATTGCATTGCTTTCAATTACACTGAAGAGTTTAAGGAGTACTTGCATCAAATCTCTAAATTTCTTTTAGAATTCAGCTGTGAATCCATCAGGGCCTGGGCTTTTCTTTGTTGATAAGTTTTTAGTCATGTTTTCAATTTCAGTAGCTGATATACGGTTATTCAAAATTGTTATATCTTCTTGATTAAGCTCTGGTAGTTCATATGCTTCTAGAAATCTGTCAATTTCCTTTGTGTTTTCCACCCTATGTGAGTAGAGATTTTCAAAGTAGGTGTTCATGATCTTTTGAATTTCCATGAGATCTGTAGTAATTTTCCTCTTTTCAGTCCTTATTGCATGAATATGAGTATTTTCTTTCTTTTTCTTGATAAGGTCGGCTACAGATTTATTAGTTTTGTTTATTCTCTCAAAATACCAGCTCTTTCTTTAATTCTTTGTATTTTTTTTTTTAGTTTCTATGCATTAATTTCTTCTCTGATCTTTACAATTTTCTGTCTTCTATGAGCTTTGGGGTTGACTTGCTCTTCCTTTTCTAGAAGCTTGAGATGTAGCATTCGGTTGTTTATGTGTGTTCATTCCATTTTCTTGATGTGACAATGTATTGCTACGTATTTTCCTCTTAGGACTGCTTTAATTGCATTCCACAGGTTACAGTACGTTATATCTGCATTTTCATTGAATTGTAGGTGTTGTTTTATTTCTTCTTCACCTGTAACCCACTGGGTGTTCAGGAGGTTGTTATTAATTTCCATGTCCTAATGCAGGTTTTGCAAACTTTTTACCATTGATTTGTGATTTCAGTGTCCTATGGTCAGATATTATGCATGGGATAATTTCAATCCCTTTGCATTTGCTTAAAAATGTTTTATGGGTTAATATATGGTCTATTTTGGAGAATGTCCCATGTGCAGCTTAGAAGAATGTATATTCTGATGTGGTTGGGTGGAATACTCTACTACACATCCACTAAGTCCATTTGCTCACAGGTATGATTCAGTTTTGTCATTTCTTTGCTGACTTTTGTCTAGTTGATCTATCTCTCTGTGACAGTAGGGTGCTAAAGTCCCCTATTACAATTGTTTATCTGGTTTTTCATGTCCATTAGTATTTGTCTTATATAGTTGAGTACTCCTGTATTTGGTGTATATATATATATTCATAATTGTTAGCTCTTCCTCTTGAAGTTTTCCACTAACAAGTATGTAGTGGCCCTTTTTTAAAATCTCTTTTAATCATTTTAGGTTTGAATTTCACTTCAAACAGAATAGTTACCACTGCATTTTTCTGGGTTGCTGTTGCATGGAATATTGTTTTCCATCTTTTGACTTTTAATGCATGAGTTTCCTTTTGAATCAGATGTGTTTCTTGTATAAGCATATTGTGGGATTCTGTTTCTTGATCCATTCTGTCAACCTGTTTCTTGCGATAGGTGAATTGAGCCATTTACATTTATGGATATAATTAATATGTACTGGCTTAACTTTGCCATGTTATGTTCCTTTTGTTTATTTTCTGCTTTTCCTTCTTGTTTAATTTCTTACCCTGCCTGGTAGTTTCTTTCTGTTGTTCTGGAGATTGTGGTCATTTTTATCTCTATCTAGTATGTCTTACAGAACTCTCTTAAGGGTTGATTCGATGGACATGAATTTCTTCAGTTGTTTTTTTGTCATGGAAGTATCTGGTTTCTCCATTAAATGTGAAAAACAGTTTTGCTGGTTACATAGGTCTAAGGTAAAAGGTTTTTCTTTTTTTCTTTTAGGGCTTGAAATACTTCACTCCAAGCAACTACTTTGAAGAAAGTAAGATTCACTGTGATACCCATTCTGGTTTGACTATTATCTTCTTTTGAAGTCCTATAGTGCCCCTAATGTTTTGCTTTTATTAGTTTTGTTTTGTATTGTTTTGTTCAATATTATTATGCCTGATGATATGGGCAAATCTTTTGAAGATAACAAGAGGCATTATGGTAACCATTGTTGATCACCTTCTATTTTGTTTTTAAGTCATGTACTATGTCCATTCTTTTGTTTTGACTGACTCTATTTTGTTTTGTCTCATTTGGTTTTATTCTCTTCAAAATAAAAAATAAAATAAAATAAATACAAAGAATCAATGAATCAAAGAGTTGGTTCTTTGAAAGAAAAAATGAGGTATGGCTAATTATTAGTTTCCTTTTTATAGTTTTATGTGAATGCTTCACCATGAAGAGGAATTTTTAACTCAGAAAGAAAAATGTAACTGTTATTTTGAAAGATGTCTTAAGGTCATACTTAGTAAAATTGTTTTTATATAATAAACTGATCGCTGGTTAGTTTGAGAGAAACCAACTGAGGTCATTAGAAGTCTCTCTTTAAACATGAAACACATTTATATTTCCTTGTTCTTAAAACTCAATTAATTCAATTTCTTGAAATATCTAACAAGAAATATATTTCTCCTTGAGAAACTCAATCCTTCTTGAAATTTAAGTATACACTCAAATAGAAGTGACACATTAGCTCAAGGAAAAGGGAAAACGGAAAGGAACTATAAAAGCAGTATATGAACTAGAAATCCTGTTGTATTTTTTTAAAAGATCCTTCTTTTCATAGAAAATTTCACTTTGGAATGGATTTGTTAGCTTTGAGACTTACTTGTTATCTGTTAAAATTAAGTGACATGATGAAATTTTCCCTGCAGGTCACCTTTTTGATAAGTTGTCTTCTATATGTACACTCTGACGGGGTCGTCTCACATTCATTCTTACTAATCCTTATTGATATTTTTATTCCTGAAACAGAGATTATCTATATTCTGCCCCCAGATCCATTGCTAATGGGTGACTAACTGGGTACCCTAAATTTTTCAAATAAACCTATTGAGGATAACATGTTACCACTACCATAAATTTATTTGTGTGGTTGCTCCACAAATACATATGTTTGTATAATATATGTCAGGCAATGTGTTAGATTCTAACAATAATAAAGTGAGGAACAAAAGAATTCTTGTCTTTAAGTACTTCATATTCTGTTCCACTCACAACACTGATAGGATGTCAAGTTACAGTTTCCTTTCTGCCTAAGTCTTAATTTCATAACTAATGCTTACTTTCCATATTTGAAACTCTCCTTGTTTTAAAGAAATTACACCCAATTTATTAATTTTTTCTTTCCTTCCTTCTTCTTTTTCTTTTTCCCTTATTTTCATTGGAGGAGGTATTTTTTCCCTTTCATACAGGAGAACTACACAGTACTATCTTGTCTGGTTAATGAGCGTATGATGTTGCTAACCCAAACAGAGATATGTGGTACATGTAAAATACATACCTGACTTTAAAATTTTAGCATTCTAAATAAAAAAGTAATACATCTCAATATTCCTTAAATTAATTACATGTTGAAATGAAACCATTTTATCCACAGTGGAAGGTTAAATAATATCATTAAAATTAATTTCACCAGTAAGTAAATAAATATTAAATAAAATGAAGTAAAAATAAACAAAGTAAACAAAACTTATTTCAATGCAGCTACTATAAATTTCAATATTATACACATATCTCACATTATACTATAAAATATAGGCATTGCTTAAATGTTGTTACTCTGAAGGAAAAACACAGAAATCTACCGATTCTCAAAGCACAATATACAGTGTGATGATATGTGCTTTACTTTTAGTAGTTGATTGAAACGGTCAGCCCATGTGAGCAAAAATACACAGTTCCACAGAACAATATTTATTTATGAACCTCTAGTAGTTTTATGTATCTTATGATGGTTAATACAATAGGAACCAGTGACTCACCTTTATCTTTTATGTTTAGGTGTAAGCTGAGAAAGTAGTTCTTTTCTACCTTGGTAACTTCTTTTATATCATTAAAAACAAGTACCTCATGTATAGAACTCATCAGCATATCCATTCTTGAAGGTTCATACTTCTTAATAAGATTATTTGATATTTCAAATGCAAATTATACATATATGAACTAATGCCAGATAAGAGCCTCTTATTTATACACAATAAATCTGGTTTTTATACATGGACTTAACAAATCATGAAAGTAATAAATGAAACATTACTTCTCTTTTCTCCTGCAAAATAGAATAAGGAGGGCTGGAGATGCAGGTTAGAGATAGAGCACTTGCCTATCACGCAGAAAGCACCATGCGTTCAGTTGCCAGTATTGCGCATGCACGCATATGCACACATACACAGAATAAATTAAATCCCTTTGCTATTTACTGTGATTCAGAGTTAGTGTTTATAGCCTGCCTGCCTTTCCATTAGATGGCACTTGGCAGCAGGATTCACTATTTTTTAATCACACCTATAAAGACACTAGGAAAGAACTTCATAAAATTGTTTCAGAAAGTAACAAGGATGATGGGATAAATGTGTTTGAAAAATAGGAGAGTATTTTGAGGGAAATTAATGGCAATGTGTGTTAATGTGATAATTTTTTTAAACATTCACTGAATATTTTGATCACAGCTCATATTGTTTTTCAATAATACATTCATAGTATTTACTTATAATTCATACATTACAGAATACCCCACATAGATTTTAACATAATTGTTTTTAAAATGAAGATTATTATGAAATAATTTTGCATATAAAAAGAAAAAGTAAAATACCGTAAGTATCATTTTTACCCAAGTCTTCACTCACTGTAATTCTCACCTTGAATTACTCTGAACTAAACATAACACCAGCCACATGTCCAATATACAAAAGAAATATATAGGTATATTTTTTGTTTAAGGGAATAACTGCCATTAATATTGGGCCACAGTAAATAAATCAGATGCTGTTCCTTATACACTCTCTCATTATTTTTCTCTGGAGGAGTAAAAAAACTTCTAAAATTTTCATCTCTGTAATTAAACTGTTCAAACTTTGATCAAGATACTGCTTTCATCTCCATAAACACTGAACAGAGAATAACTTTAATGGATTCGTTCATTTAGTGACTTTTTACTTAGCATTTACGAGATCTAGAAACAATGTTAGGTGGTGCAAATAGGATGAAAAACAAAATAAGAAAATGTAGAAGGGAGAGGATTTAATTTAGATCAGGGAAACTTGAGCAAACCTCTGTAAGTGACTAGTTTGGATGACCAGTAGATTATGCCTGTGAGGAGGAGAACCCTTAAGAGCATATGCAAATATCTCAGACACAAATTAACTCCAGTCATCTGAGATGTTAAGAGTCGGCAGGTAGCACAAGCCTCCTCAGCAGGAGGACAATGAAAGATGGAGCTAAAGAGACTGACAGAGGTTATAATCAGGTATGGTCTTACGTGACTATTGAGACATTTGGCACAACCTGAGATCTCAAGATTAAAGGGTAGTACCATTTTTGGTGGCTATATTTTGGTTTTTGAAGAAATAGATTTTTGTTTGTGGGAAATTAAATAGAGTATCTAGAGACACCATACAGACAATTGAACTTTAAATAATTTGGGGAAGAAAAAAGTCTTTGTATGGTACTTGCAACTTTTCAGCAAGTATAAAATTGTTTCCAATAAAGGAAAGAGAAACAAAATTGGATAGGGAAAATCACTTTTACCTAATCCTCTAATTATTTTCTATTTAATACTGAATTAAAACAAAAAAATCTGAACTGAGTGATTTTAAAGCACTTGTGGGATAATCTAACTATCTTGTTAGATACTAATGTGTGTGATATGTTGTCCATATAACCATAACTGAGGTATTGAGAAGGAGTAGACTATACTGGCTGGACAGATAGTTTGGGACAAAGAAAGGGAAAAATAAATCCTGCCTAAGTGCAACCTTTCTTTGGCATTTATCAATTTAATTCTTCCTTTCCCCAGGGTTCTAGGACAAGAGAGATGCTCTCTGATTTACCCTGAAAATACTTGAGAAACAAATAGAAATCTACATACCAAGAGTAGAAATATTTTAAAATTCTACACTGAGCTAGTAAGCTGTTCAACAATATGCATTTTATCATATCATGACAGTATGCCTTCATAGTCACTTAAAATTTGAATTAAAGATTAATAAATTAAAATTCAGAACTTCAATTCCATTGAATTCCTTTCTAGAATTCATAGTTCAAAGGATATTGTCTTACATCCCATTTTTGGGGCCCTCAGTCTCCTGCCCACACAGGCTGTCTCTCAACATAGGAGTACTCTGTCACAAAACTGCTCCCTGTGGCACCAATTCCTAGGTCTAAGAGTCACCTGCAAGTATTTGTTCCATGTTTCAGAGATTCTCTTGCCATGTTATTTCTTATATAATATTTAGCCTTTTGCAAGACACATACATTCACATCTAATATTAGTTCAACATTATGTAAACATCTATAGTATTGGCTAGATACGTTTTATTTCTTTTTAACTTCTTTTTGCATAATATAAATAATAACACATATTTGTTCAGGTGATTTTTGTTGTTCTAATATGTCTTGGAATATAAAGCAATTTAATGATTTTCTTTTAAAATTGAATATATGCCATTGTGTCTAAGAGATAGCACACAAATGGACAATGGTCAGGACATGTATAAAAACAGAATTCTCACTTATAATCTGCAAAAGCCATTAGATGAAACTAACTCAAGATCTCCAATAACTAAGCCAAAAACCTGCTCTGTTGTCTGGGGTCAGATTTGTTGGAAGTTTAATCAATATCTCTAGCAATTAGCCAGGGGGCAAATAATAACCTCTGTGACAATCAGCTCCAAATGATCAGCACTTGAAAAATAACTGCCAGCTTATCTAATTTTAGCCCTGGTTTTCAATTTAGAAACAACCTGAGAAAACCAAACATGTACCCCTAACCAGTACATGAATGCAGGCTGTCTGGTTAGCAAGCTGACAGCTTAACTTCCCCATGGCAACAGAGGCTTAACTGAAGTCTATGGTTTTTCTCACCACAAAACGTTCCCATTCTTCTGCTTGCGTGAGTATCTGCCAAAACATTGTTAATGGTAGCTCACTCAAGCTCCAAATATATAGCGCTAGCTTATTCTCATTTTGTTAATCATTTATTTCTACATGTAACACGTAATAATAGTTTCCATGCTTAATTTATTATTGGCAAACTTAACAGTGACACATCTCTGGTTTGTATATTTATTTATAATTCATTTCCTTAAATAAATAATTGGATAAATATTATGTTAGCATTCATATTTCAGTTGTACTGCTATTCTTTTTGAACTAGGTATGGCTGCAGTATAAATGAAATTTAGATGGCTAAAAATTTTCAAAGGCTTCATTCATTTTCAGAGTCAATGGTGAAGGTAAATTTTTTAATAGTAATCCATGCAGTACATTATAGATTCTTTCAGTTTTTCATGTAGGAATGAGTCATCACCAAAGGAGTTTTTAAAAAAGCATAAAGACTTTTTATATAATTTGTAAAAAAAGTATATAATTTGTTTAACAAAGGCTGTCAAATTTTAAAACGTAGTTTATTTTACTACTTAAAAAGCCTTTGGTAAGTGGAAGAAAACAGTGTGACACTTAGAGCAGAATTCTAACAGTCACCAGAGGTTGACAACAACATGCGTTCTGTCTCACTTCTGGTAGTAAGCTGTTTATATGGTCTTTTAAAATTTAAACCGTGAATCAGAAGTCCTTTTGAAGACAGATAAAATAACTAGTAATTCTAATTTCAGAGCTGTCTGGTCTTTGCAGATAGCAGCAAAGTTATTTCCAAATTACTACAGTTTATCCCTTTCTCTTTCAGTACACAGCTTCTCTCAGCCTTCCAAATCTCTGCTGAATTCTTTTCTTCATCAATTCTCTTCTCTCACTCTATCAGGACTCCTCATAATGTAGCTGTGTGCTCTGTACAACAGAAGCAGCAAAAGGTGTCTGTTAAATCAGGTGTGGGGATGCACATCTCTAATCTCAGCTACTCGGGAGGATCACACGTTGAAGCTTTGGTGGGGCCATTTGGGAAGACCCGGTTTCAAAACAAAAAGCCTTCCACATGCCAAAGATTAAAACTAGACACATTTTTATCCTTGCATGTTGGAGACCATTATGAAGGAGTTCTGAGCAGGATTTAAATTTTACTAATTGGCTTTCTATGTTTATCTGTGAGTCTGTCCTAGGCCTTGGCCCCTTGCCTGGCGATGGGAGCTGATTCATAGTAAGTGAACCTCTGTGAACCACTGGTCCTGGCTGAGGCCTGTAGGTCTGTGAGGCCAGAGATACCTCAAAGGGCACGATAAGGCCACAGCTGAAGACGTTGGCTTCAACACTAATTAAGTAAATAGAGACTGCAGCTGGAAATTTCACTCCTGCAGTCGTACTCCTACCATAAATGTCAACTTGGAGATAGGACAGTTCTCCTAAATTGGCATAACTTACTACTGGGAGAAGTCTTTGAAATGACTCCCAAGGTCCTGCTCATTTCCTACGCTTTCCTCAGTTTCCCCACCTTTTGTCCTTGGTCCAGAAAAGTCTTTGTCTTAGTCCTCAGAGTCTCACACTCAATTAAAGGGTTTTGACCTGCCTGGAGCCCTAAAACCATACAATTTGTCTCTTTTTATTTAAACCTCTGCCTTCACTCATTTGGGAGATTGGGGTTCCAGGTCAAAGCCCGATAACTGGTGCCTACAACAGGAATCTAAAATCTTTGGACTAGGAATTTTAGTGGAAAGGTTGGATTCAGAGGAGGCCTTCACAGGACGAAACCTTCACCAAGGACACCTGAAGAGAACAGAGGGAAGAAAAAGGGTGAATCTTTCCACCGTTGAAAAGCAGTTTTATCTGGCAGCAAAATATGGGGCAAAGGTTTCAGCCAAGGAGCAAAAGTATTTGCAGCTGCTCCAAAGCCTGCTTAAACACTCAGGGGCTCATGTGCCAAAGAAAGACTTGACAAAAATGTTAAAAGAGGTAACCAAATATAATCCATGGTTTCCTCAAACAGGCACTATAGAAATTGATATTTGGGAAAGAGTTGGAAAAAATCTTTAAAAGGCACACGGGTCAGAACAAATCATTTTCCCTGAGACTTTCTCAACTTGGAATCTGGTTCATTCAGTTTTAAGTCCGTTAAAGAGCTCACAGTCAATAATCTCTGATTCAGACACAGAGGAAACAGAGCTCCCTGTTGAGGCTCCTGCCACCAAAAGAAAATCCTTAGAGGAATTACCACAGCAGGAGTCTTTACTAAAAATATCTCATGGGGCTCTATCCAAAAACTTGCAGGTAGTTTTTGGTTAGTGTGGGGAAGAGGCAACAGGAAAGGGAGCAAATAATACCCTCCCTTCTTGCTTCCCAGTTGAAAGTGAAAGAGATGCTGATGATCAGGAGTATTTTATTCATATGCCTTTTAAAATACAACTGCTAAAAAAATCTTAAAGTGTGGTTAACAATAGGGTCCAAAGCCCATTTACTGTGGGACTTTTACAAAATATTTTGGATATATATCAATTGACACTTTCTGATGACAAACATGTGGTACAAACATGCCTGTCTCCTGCTCAATTCTTTCATTTTGATGTTAAGCTAAAAACTCTTGTTTCAGAGCAGGTTCATAAGAACAGGACAGGTCCCAATCCACGTCCAGCAATAAATGAGGAAATGCTTTCTGGGACAGGGGTATATGCACCACTTTGACCGGCGCAGCTCCCCAATGAGACAGGAAACGCTTAAGGTGGGTAACAGGAACTGCCCACTTTATTGTTGCGGGTTCTGGCTTATATATCTGACTGTAGCCAATCAGGCTGCCACGAGGGCTGCCACGAGGAGGCAGGGCTGGAATGAGACGCGGGCTCTGGCTAATATACCCAGCTGTGGTGAATACGAAGTGAGCACGGGGTGGCTAATTTGGAGAGGGACGTAGCGCATTGCGGAAGCTGGCGTGGTCCTTAGTCCCGGGTGGGGTATGGTATGTTGAGCGCCTGTGCCCAACACCACTTGAGGAGTAGATTCAATGTCCTGCATTTCTGCAATTGGCAGAATTAGTAAAAAAAAAAAAAACATGAATAACTGTTCCAGAAGATGGGGCTTCAGTAATGCCCTTCTTACATATTCTGCAAGGACCCCAGGAACCCTTTACTCAATTTGTGGCAAAATTAGAAGAAGCTGTTTGCAGACAGATATCAAACATGGAAGCCATGAACATTTTAACTTTAAAATTAGCATATGCAAATGCTAGTCCCGATTGTAAACAGGCTTTAAATCCTGTTTAAAGTCAACTAATGATTTAACAACATATATTTGAACATGTCAGGACATTGAAACTGAGTCTTATAAGACAACTATGATGGCTCAGGTTATAGCTGGTCTTGCAAGTGCAAAAAGGAGTAATGTGAAATGTTTTAATTTTGGAAAAATGGGACATACTAGAAAAAATTGCAGAGTTCTTGGTAGATCTGATAGGACAGATGCTGCAGCTGCAGCAGGTCAAGAGAAAAATGCAGGATTAGATCTTCCTGCAGCTTGCAGAGTCACTCTCATTGGAGGTGACAAGCCCACCCCAATTCCCATAGGAATTTGGGATGCCCCACCTGAAGGAACAGTTGATCTTGTACTGGAAAAGGCTGATCTAAATTTAAAAGGAATAACTGTTGTGCCTAGTGTGATTGATAGTGATTGTTGAGATGAGATACAAGTTTTTGCATGTGCTATAGACATCTGGGTTTTTGAACAGGGAGACTGCATGGTGCAGTTGATTTTGTTACCTATAGAGAAGCCTTCTTTTGTAAACATAGACAGCTCAGGAGGGAGTAAGACTCTCAGAGCAAGACTACAAAAAGAGAAATTTATTTTAAATAGGGAGTGAAACCTAAAAACAGGTCTATGTGTTTTATAAAGATTAATGGGAAATACTTTGAAGGTCTAATAGACATCCAGTGCAGATGTGTCTGTAATTGCATTAGAACAATGGCCTGCCTCATGGCCAACACAGAGGGCCCCTAAGTTCCTTATGGGACTAAGAACTCCTCAGCATGTGTTACAGAGTACCTCTCCTTTGCCTTATGAGGGACCAGACCAACAAAAAGGTTTCTTTTTACCTTGTGTTTAAGGTAACCTATTCCAGTTAATTTGTGAAGAAAAGATTTGTTACAAAAGTGGAAATTAGTGCTGATTAGCAATTCTGACTTTAAAGCTAAACAAGTTCCAATTTGGAAACTAAACAAATAGATTCAGATCCTAAAATTAAGAAAATGATTATTAAAAAGGGATATCAGAAAAAAAAAGGACTAGGAAAAAACTTACAGGAAACCAAGGTGCCTGTTTGGGTAGAACAATGGCCCCTTAAAAAGGAGAAGCTAACTCAATTGCACAAATTAGTGGAAGAGCAATTGCAGCTAAGACATTTAGAAAGCTCAGTTAGCCCTTGGAATACTCGTGGCTTTGTTATTCCAAAGAAGTCAGGCAAATGGAGGTTGTTACAAGATTTAACAACTATAAATGCTTACCTACTTCCTATAGGGATATTGCAGCCAGGACTGCCATATCCAACTGCAGGTGCTAGAGACTAGCCTCTAATCATGACTGATTTAAAAGATTGCTTTTTAACATTCTTAATTTTTTTTCCACAGATAAACCAAGTTTTGCCCTTTCCATGCTTAATTTAAACTTTAAAAGATCAATACAGCCAATAATGTGCAAGCAAGGTTATGCTTGTGTCTTAATAGGAGAAAGATCCATGAGAAACATACAGCCTTGATGGAAGACACAACCAGTGCTGAGGACAGCCTTAGATGGTGGCTCCACCAACCTGGGTCCGGGGAGACATGCCAATCAGCCAGAAAATTGACCCCAAGAGACCAAGAGAAAAGGCAAGTGATCCAGTGGAATGACATCCAAGCAATGATTCATGAGGCTAAAAATATTGTCACCAAAAGGAAAATTCCACCAACCCCTGAAAATCTTTTGATTGCCTTAAAGACTCTGCTGGCAATATCTGTATATATGACACCTGTCTCAGGAGTGGAATAATAGACTTATGTCTTTGATCCACCACTACTTAGACCCATTACTTGGGCAGATTCTCCACTGAGATTTATCATGAACTATACTTGACTTCTTAAACTGTGCCATTACAAGGCCACTCATTTCTGCATCCTTGGGAGGATATTAAAAAACATGTACAAGGAGCTATCCATCAAAATGTTATGATGGATACTGACGCTTTCCAGAAGTAGGTGTTAATGTCCCAACAAACGCAAAAATTTGATGAACAAATTCAAGATTGGTACAAATTCTCTGATGCTTTAGATCAATTAAATCCATTCAGCTATCTGAAGGCAGACTTCTGGCTTTATGTCGGTATACTTGGAGTAGTCTGTGTGTTTCTCCTTATTCTATTCATAGTCTGTGGAAGAGGAGCCAAATTGGAGACAACATTCATCCACATCTTACCCTGATCCAGCTGTTGTTACAAAAACAAAAGGGAGAAGATGTTAGCACACTAAACTAAACTCAAAATAGATCAAATATCTAAATATTAAAACAGAAACACTAAATCTCCTGGAAGAAAAGGTAGATAGAAATCTTGAAGACATAGGGATAGGCAGAGAGTTCATGAACAGAAACAAACTGTACTGGAAGCATTTTTCAAAGAATCAATAAACAGTATCTCATCTTATTAAAAGTTTTTGCCCATCAAAATAATTCAACAGAGTGAAAAAACTACCCATAATGTAGGAAAAAATTTTAGCCCAATGTCTCTCAGACAAAGAAATTCTACCAAGAACATATAAAGAATTGAAAAAAATCATACCCCTCAGATTCAAAGACCCAATCAAAAAGTGGATATCTAAAGTGAATACACAATTTTCACATTAAGAAACACAAATGTCAAATACATATATGAAAAAATGTTCAATATCACTCATTATTTGAGAGATGCAAATTAAAACACCACTGAGATTCCATCTCACTCCCAGAAAGAATGGCTACCATCAAGAAGTCAACCAATAATAAATGCTGGAGGAGCTGTGAGGAAAAAAAGAATGCTTCTCCATTGTTGGTAGAAGTATAGACTACTAAAACCACTGTGCAAATCAATGTGGAGATTCCTCAGAAACTAGGATTAGAGGTCCCTTTCCACCCAGCTACTCTCCTTCTGAGCATCATCCAGGAAGAATTGAAATCATTATACCACAGTGACATACATATATGCACCCATGTTTAGAGAAGCATAGCTCTTAATAGCTAAATCTTGGAAACAACCCAAATGCCCATCAACTAAAGAATAGATTAAAAAAAAAATATGTGGTACTTTTATACAAAGGAGTACTATTTCAGCTATAAAAAGGATGATCTTGAGGCTCTTATAGGTAAATGGAGGCAACTAGAGACCATCCTCATAAATGATAAACACACTTGTATGTGTCAATATCATATTGTCTCCGTAGTGTAAAAAAAGGGAAACAGTAAATAGGATCCAAAATGTACAAAAGATATTGTTCAAATGAAAGAGGAAGAGATTGCTCAAAAGGAAAGAACAACTTGGTTGAAAGGAAGGAGAAAAGAAAGAAGGGAAAGGAGAAAAAAAGGGAAAAAAGAGAAAATAAAGAAGGGAATAAATAATTATGTTACTAATCTCTTAGTCTGTCAAAAAGAACAAGTTTGTGCTTTCAATGTTTGGTCATATTTTCATCCCTATATCTTGTAATCTGAGCAACTACTTCAAAGATAACAATATGCAATATATTACTCATTATTAATCTATTTTGTTGTTTGGAAACTCTGTAAAAAGAATTAAATGGTTAAAAAGATCTGGGACTGTGGCTTATTGGTAGAGGGCACCTGGGTTCACTCCCTAGAACTGTGAGAAAAGTGGGGGTGGGAGGTGAAAGGTTGAGGGAGAGTCTTAAAATACAGAGCCTTTGAATCTTCCGAATCAAAATCTCAGCAAGTCAAACCAAAGAAATTTATGTTTTCCCAGCCTTTCCCGATGATTCCTTTACATATCTGAAGCTAATATCTTCTCAGAAACTTTCTGTCTCTTAGATTCACAGTAAGCTGATTTGCTAATAAAAATCTATGTATCTATATCCATATCCTTATCCATATCCTAGTTACCAACTACTTAAAAGCTTGAAAATAAGAGTTCTTTTCCACTTTTGTCCTAGTGTTTTCAGTCCAATTTAGTCACTGATCACGTGGCTTTTCCTTTTATTAAGCATCTGACTATAATGAGATCCGTTTTTAAATCAATAACTATTATCTGTGCACCCACCATGTACCAGGAACAATGATACGAAGAATAGCCCAGCACGCTCCTATCTTGGAGATACAGTGTAACCAGCATGAAAGACTTGTGAATAAATAATTCTTTGCACTAAGTGCTCTGGTGTAAATATATCAAAAGTGCTGAGAGCACACAGATAAGAAGCCAGCTAAGGTTTCCCAGGGACTCCATGAAGGTCCAAACAAGAGGCAACATTTGAGCTGGTTTTGAGACAGAGTGAGGAAAGGATACTCAAGTGCGAAAACAACACGACCAAGAACAGCAGAATGAAAACAGTCTTTCCTGTGTGTGCTGCAGAGAGATTGTGGTGAAGCCCAAAACTTGGGCTATGCTCTTATCATAAAGAAGCATTCTGTACGACATGTCACACAGTGACAGTAAGACTGTAGCTCCCAGGAGCCACCAGAGAGGGGGCTTTGCTTGCTTGCTTTTCCTTTCCTCTTTTTACATCTTTTGTGTTTATGAAAAATATTTAGATTGGATTTAAAAATTCAAATATTACTGTCAGGCTCACATTAAAATTAGCACTAGGGGCTGGGGATTTAGCTCAGCGGCATAAGCACCTGCCTTGCAAGCAGGCAGTCGTGAGTTCGATCCCTGGTACCAATAAAAAGGGAAAAGACAAAAAAAAAAAAAAAATTAGCACATCTCTTCCTCCACATTCAACTCTTTCTTTCTTTAGGCATCCATGTACATCTTTAAGCTTTTTTTAGTGTTTAATTTCATATTTCAAAATTATGTGGTGCACTGTAGAAATTTCATTGGGAAATCAACAAATAGGAGTATCTTTTGTATGAACTGATGTCTTCCCCAAAGAGGAATTAATTCTCTGATCTCCTGCTGAGGGACAAAATACTAGTGACCCTGAGAACAGACACTCAGAAATCAGAAATCACAATATACAGATTGCCTCAGTCATCCTCTCCCTCCTTTTCCCTAGATGGTAGTCTTCCATGTTTAACATATCTAGGAGAGTTCTTTTGATCTAAAGTTTTGTCCATTGTCTTCTCTTGAATAGGTCGGAACAGTAATTTTGGTTTTACACCTTGCAGTGCCCAAGTTTCCTGAATTTTACATAGGACCTGGATCCAGTCTCCAGTAGATAAGGAAACCAAATAGAGCTAGATTGAGGGTACAAAGTCAGTGAATACTGAAGTCTACGAAAGCAGAAGTCTAATCTGTAGCATATGGGCCAATCCTTGTTTACCACCTAAAGTTTTGTGTATTCCATGAACTAAGAGTGGATTTACGTTCTTAAGGGATTAGGAAAAAATGCAATTGAAGAGTAACAGTTTAGTATGTGGAGAAACTGCATGAAATTCTAATATCTGTGTTCATAAATAAAATTTTATGGCCATCTGTGTTTGTTTTGTTTTGCTTTGCTTTGCTTTGGCTTTTTTCAGTGCCAGGGATTGAACCCAGGACCTCATGCTTGCTAGAGAAGCGCTCTAGACTGAGCTTTTCTCCTGCTGTTTATATGAGAGTATTGTCTATTGCTGCTTTCGTGGTACACTTGTGTAATTTGGGAGTTATGACAAAATTACAGGTTTTTTTTTTTAATTTTATTTAAGGAGAAAAGAAAAAAAAAAGCAGGGAAAGGGTACAAGTTATACAGATTTACAGAAAAAAAATGAACAGTAGGAAATCACTAGTTTATGGATTACATATTGTCATCTTAGAAATAATTGTTCAAGTCACAAAATTAAAGCTTGTAAAGTGGACATTCCATCAATGATACTGCAAACAGTTCTATTCAGACAAAATTACAGTTTTAAAAGCCTAAAATAATTACTTCAGATTCTTTATTGAAAGAAGTCTTCAGACTCTCTTTCTAAAGCAATTCATCAGAGCAGTAACAAAAAAAAAAAAAAAAAACAAAAAAAAAACAGGTCATTTGACCAAAGGAAACAGATTATATACAGAGAAATTAAAAAGAAAGTTATGTATTTTCTATTCCTTAGGTTTCCTGAAATTCTTTTAAGTTGTCATTTTCCTGATTGATACTATAGAGCTCAAACCTCAGAAAATTCAAATTACTAGTAATTCTCTATAAAACTTTCTATTTTAAGGTTTTCTATCTCACTCTTATATCTATATGTTTATCGCAGGTCTTTAGTTATCTGTATATGTACTTGATCTGTCTCTACATAAATTGTAAACTCCTAAGTGGTTAAAAACAAAACAAAAATAGACAATACATACATTTCCAAGGCCTAGAACATATTCTTATACTAATCTGCACACACATTTTGAAAATTTTAGTAATATACACGAGCTCTATTCTTCTTACTCAGGGAAAGGAAAATGATTTTTCTATAAAATATTTTTTTCTCATTTAATAAGTTCTAACATGACTTCTCTAGTTGAACTAATTGGGAAAAAGGAGAGAGAGAGACCTTCAGAATTCCCTTTTTTTCTCTTTGATATTCAGTGTCCTCCAAACACACACACACACACACACACACACACACACACTCAGAAGAAGAGGAAAAACATTTTGACAGTGAATGAAAGTCACCAAAAAGAGAGATTTCAAATGCATTTGTGTTTCCCACATGGTGAAACAAACAAAATTATTTCTATTCAACAGAACTGATGTCTCTAATTTTCACCCAGGATTCTAGGGAGAAAAAAAGAGCACTGCATTTCTATTTAATCAAGTAAGACAATCACTTGGCAGAGTTGGTCATTCTGTCTTGCAACTTCATTGTTATTTAGTTGATACAAATTGCTCTCATTAGCGCCTTAGCAGGCTTCTGGCTGATAACTTTGGGACCTGTGGCTGTGGTTCTATGTACAAGGCTCTGTGTACCAGACTCTGTTAACTGTGGTTGAACAGTAGCAAAAAAAAAAAAAAAACAAATAAGTTTATGAATAATGCATAAAGCCTCTGTCTAAATCTTATTCCTGGGCCCCTGTAAGATTTCAGTAAAATTATAAATGTCTTTTTAAAATCTAAGGTGAAAAACAAATTGGAGATATTCTCAAACATTACCCACTTAGTAGTGTGGAAGGGAAGCTGTAATATGTTTGACTTCAGATCGCTTCTCCCATATAATCAAGAAAGGATGAAATTGGAAAAGGGGATTGGAGGGCTGGGGGTTTAGCTCAGCAGCATAAGCACCTACCTTGCAAGCAGGCTGTCGTGAGTTCGATCCCCGGTACTGATAAAAATGAAAAAAAGGGGGGGGGGGCTGGAAGTAGGCTGCCATGGTGAAGCAAACATTTGCCAGTGTATCAATCTAGAAAACACTGAGAAATGACAGGAGCAGGAAAATAAATGACCGTTTTTCTCATGCCTGCAGTCCTGAGAAGCTGAGCCAGGAAGATTGTAAAATAGAGGGCAGCCTGGACAGTGTAACACTTTAGTGAGACCCTTTTGCAAAAAATTAAAAAAGAGTTAGAGATGTAGCTTTGCATGATGGCCCTGTGTTCAGTACTCAGTATCACATAAAAAAGGCAATTTTTCACAACGAAAACTAGTTAATTTCTTTAAAATCGCACCATCTTTCCTCTACAGTGCTAGCAGACCGATGATACTGAGATACTAAACCACTGTGTACACATTTCTGCTAACTGTCATAAATATTGAAAACAATGAATATATAGGGTACTTTCTGGTTTACCATAATTTTGGATTGCATTTGTGATGAAGAAAAATGTATTCTTTAATACAGTGTCTGCAGTCAAATCTGAAAATATAACAATGAGCACATACATCACATCCCTCCTAGTAACTTTGAATATACCTCACTGTTCTAACCACATTTTAGGTCAGGTTATCAGTTGCAATATGAAGCTGAGAACCTGGAAGGCAGTAGGTACTCAACAATTGCTGGGCAAATCAACCTATGAATGAGCCAATAAGTAAATAATAAAAATGTGAGTGATAGAACCACAAATCCTAACAAAATGGATAAAACAAGGCACAAAATAGTTTGGCTGTACACAGTAGGCATTCTAAATCTAAAAGTTACCTGGTGTGAAATATTATACGATTAATAATTTTGTTGAGACAAATTTTCCAAGTGGAAAACATACCCAACTTCACGTGATAGATTGCAATCAAAATGTAGGTACACTAACAATACTGTATAAAATCGCCATCAGATTATGTGTATAAAATACTGATTAAAATCGCCATCAGATTATGTGTATAATGTATACACAGGACAAATGCATTGTGTGGTTGGACTTGGATCCCACCACAATATGTATCTCAACCTGTATGTGTAAATATTCCAAAAACCGGAAATATCTGAAATATAAAACACTTTTTATACCAAGAGTTTCAGATAATGATGCTAAACTATACCTTGAGAAAAGGCAAACATTTTCAAGACACCATCCAATGTATATTTGGTTATGGACTTCTATGTGGGGCAGTTAATGAAGATGTTTCTAACTATGATAAAAACATTGGCAGCACATTAAGAAACACTTGCATATTTCTTATTCAGCAGACAGTACTAATTTAATGTCTGTCCTTGTGATGACTATGGGTACCTTTTATTGAAGAATCAGTTATTTTTCATCGTTGAAGGGAAGGAATTTGTGATTTTCTATGGAATCTTTTTTCTCTTGTTCTCTAGCATTTTCCTTTTTCCTACAAAGACATACACTGACATAATACACTGTTATTTTACAGTGTAAATAATATAGAAAATATGCTGTTTTCCAAGAAAGCTACAAAAGTTGCTTTAACTTTTCATGAATATGTTCTAGGAATAAATATCTTTCTAACTTGAATTTTGAAATTCTCTTTTTACAAATTACAATAATCTTTTTGTTTCTATTTACCTCTTAAAAACAATGCTTTTGCCCAAGTGTCAGTAAATCAAATATCCAAGGAAGGTTATCAAAATGACACTCAGCTACACATGTGACGCTCAGCTCCATTTTGTCAGAAACAAGATGGTAAGGACTCAGGTAAACCAGAGACAAAGGCTCCAATTTTCTGAGAGTACAAAATTCAGATTTGTAATAAGGCTTTTAATGTGTGTTTATTTTGATAACTCATTAAAATGTAAAAAATTACAAATGTCAAAACTACAAACCAACCAAGCTCCTCTGTGGGCTATGTCGAGCCCAAGAAATAGCTCACTTCCCTTTTACCTTATCAGATGAGATGTTGGAGATATTTAACTCTTTGTGTGAATTTGCTTCTAACTTGTCAGAGGTGAATCATATCGAGGAAAATCTAAGAATGTTTTCAATGATGCCAACATACATAGACCTCCCAAGGTGTCCACTTAGAAAGACAGTTAATTTTATGTGGAAAGTTTGTGATGTATACTAGTTAAAAACTAGATCTTGGAGTTACATTGACTGAGTTTGAACCCCAGCTCTGTTACCAGCTGTTATCTTGGGCGAGGAACCAAATTTCTTCATGACTGACTTTCCTGTCTGTGAGATGCAGATAATGGCAGTTATCCTAACAGTTCTCATGACAGTTTGTGGAAGTGTGTCATCTATGTATTTACATATATCCTGCTTAATTGCAAAGCCTTTGTTAATTTTTTTGTATTATTATTCAGAAGTCAGAGTTGGTGGAAGTAGCAAACTTTTACATACCGTTCTCACTTAGCAGCAAGCAGCGCCATATGTGGCCTCAGATAACATTCTTGTTCAGACAGAACATGTGGGAGAATCGGGTCCCTGTGGCAAAGTCCCACTCTTTTTGTCCTTAACACCAGATGCCATCACTTCTTGGAAATGTCATAATTGCATGTTTTAATAAGAGGATATATACAGTAAATTTTAATAAAACTTAAGTTTGAGCAGTTAATATTATGGCAAGAGTTTTTCCTTTCTGGAAGTCATCCATTCTGAAGTTAGGGACATTCTGTTCCAGCATTGGAAGGCTAAAAAATCAAAGTGCTGTTACTTTCCACTTTTATATGTTAGTGAAGCATGGAAATTCATTGACAGATGCTTGAGCTAGTTAAAAGTTCCTGTGCCTTTCATTCAAGTTCATTTTCACATTAAATAACTCCAGGGGTTTAAATTTTTTGAAAAGGTACCTACATTTTTCTGAATACTTACAGAAAACAAAAGTTCACACGATTTTTTATCTATTTTAATCGAATAATCTATAAATTTGTTATTACAAACTTACAACAATGGTAGTGGCCACATGAAATTCATTTTTCTGAGGCACATGTATCTTCATTTACTGATAAAGATCAAGATACGATCTTCCAGGGGCTGGGGATTAGCTCAGAGGCATAAGCCTCTGCCTTGCAAGGAGGCAGTCGTGAGTTTGATCCCTGGTACCGATAAAAACGAAAAAGACAAAAAAAAAAGATACGATCTGCCCTTTTAAGATTTTATAAGTTTTTAAGTTTCCTGTAATGTATTC